CGTCCCACCTCTCTCCCCCACCTCTTCTCTTTCTTTTTCCCCCCTACCTCCTATCCTAACTTTTAATTGTCTATGGTGTGTGTATGTCACAACGAAATGTATCTTTATGCATTAGACATCCGTCGACTTTCTTTCTCTCCTCTTTTAATTCCCCCCACATCTCCTAAAATTCTCTCTGTTAAGGTTTCATCTCCTCCTCCTCATACTTACACTTTCTCTAAATTCTGTTTTGATTTCGGAGTTGTTTTTCTGTTTTCATTTTGAATTTGTAGGTCTGATGATTTGGATCGTATTTACGATTCCAATGGAATAAATTATGACCATGGAATATTAGTGTTTAAGCCTTTTTATTATTATATATATATATATATATATATATATATATATATATATATATATATATTGAACAATAAAAAATATTAAAAATTAAAATCTTCAGACACACTGGGTTGTAGATTAATATTCTTTTGTTTTTTTATTATTATTTCATTTAGATTCCTCAACGTTTCGGCTAAAATGGCCATCATCGGGAGAAGAAATATTTTTGGTTGCTGGTAGCAGTTAACTACAGAAATGATTAGTTTTAAATTGTGCTATACTTATGAGAGATAAATTGCTCAATATCAGAGATAGAGCGTATGTAAATATAAATATAAAAGTGGACATTGAAGTCAACACTTAGAGGCGACAGACTGTTTTATGCTGGACGCAATCGTCGCGGCCTGACGATTGCGTCCAGCATGAAAGAGACTGTTGTCTTTGATGTTGACCTCAATGTTCTATATATATATATATATATATATATATATATATATATATATATATATATATATAGAATAAGAAGAAAACAGTAAGATATATAATCCGGTGTTCTTATAGATATTTTATTTTACAAAATAGTGCTCAATGTAAATTTACAGAGCATTAATATTATAAATTAATTGATTTAAAATATGTTTTTTTTCGCTACACAGTTCTAACCATGTTGCAAATAATAGAAACTAAAAGCTATTAAATTAAAGACATTTCGCTTAAGGATGAAATGGAACTAATGTCTTTAACTAATTTAATTTAATGTCTTTAACTAATTTAATTTTAGCTTCCATTTTTTTTGAAACATGTTTAGAACTGTGTAGCGAAAAACATATTTTAAATCAATTAATTTATAATATATATATATATATATATATATATATATATATATATATATATATATATATTTCAAAGTTTAAGGGCCCTGTATTCCAAAAAAAGGGTGACCTTTTTGGAATACAGGGTGTCTTAAACTGAATAGCTGTTGCTTAACTTCCGGTGATTGTACGGAAATCGGTGTTTCAAGGTCATGTGGCCGTACGCCTAATGAACTGGAAGATAAAAAAATGAACAGAAAAGATAATAATAAAAGAAGCGAAATGAATCTTGAACAGTGAAATCTGTCGGTGGTAAGGGACAAGAAAAGAATGGTTGAAGGGTGAAGGGATTTCCAAGTATTTAGAATGAGTGACACCTTCTTTAAATCCCCATTCGCCGACTAATCATCTGGGGCGGCTATGAAAATAGCCGCAAATTAACAGCAACAGCAGTAGCTGACAGGGTTCTGGGGAAAACGGATGTCGAATTAGGTGAAAATCTTCCGACACGCCAAGCCGGATAATTACAGGCTTTCGCCCCTTCTCGAAAGAAACATACTAGTAATTCAAATGGCATCACTTTCCTTATATATATATATATATATATATATATATATATATATATATATATATTTTTTTATTTTCTACCTTTTATTCGTATTTTAAATCATAACCCGTTGTTGGGGGTGGGGGCCTATGTTCTCTACCAGACAGAGCCAAACTTGGTTAGCGAGGTTGTTTTATTTATTTGCTGCTCTAAGTCTTGCTTTGTTTCGCTTTGAAACGGCATTAAAACAGACAAATAGTATTCTGACTTGGCTCTTACTAGGCTGGGTTTTATTGAACATTATCAAGCTTATCGAACCTAAACAACACAAAAAGCAAAACAGACGCAGTGCAA